ACAAATTGTGAGACATCTGGAGGATACTACGTCCTGTAAGTTTCATCTTCCTGTGAAAGTTCCTCTGGCACTGAGGGCGTTGCAAAGTTGCAACATCTGAGGACCTCGCAGAGTCCCATTTATGACGTCATAGGTCAGTGACCTGACCTGACTTGAAAACTCGGTTGGTGTCAAACGATCCAGCTTGAATAAAAAATTAGGTATGCCAAGTTTCAGCTGTCTACCCTAGGCGTGTTTTGAGCTATCGCGAAAAGCCATATGAGGCGGCACCCGTCCCACCCCTTCTCGGCCGATGAGGGTTAATGTACTAGTTCATGTACATGTTTGCGCAGATATAGTATCATCTCAGCTAAAACGTATCTCTAATTCATGTTCGACACATTCTAGTGTTGTTATACAAAAATTAACTCAATATATTTTCAATTTATCTAACTATTATGCCTGACGAATATTTATTTTTCAAAAAATAGGTGCTATCTCCAAAATGGAAATTTTTCAGATCTCGGGGACCCCACCATCGGATTCCTCGCAAAATTTTAATCCAGAAAACACTAAAATTGGAGATGGGTATTTTCAAAAGTTATTTACCGTCTTTTGGGGCAATGTGACCCGTGGTGTCCCAGTAGGCATTTCTCGAAGCGGGCTCGTCCAATAAGATTAAGACCTCTCTCCTCTCTCTCTCTCTCTCTTTCTCTCTCTCTCTCTCTCTCTCTCTCTCTCTCTCTCTCTCTCTCTCTCTCTCTCTCTCTCGCTCTCGCTCTCGCTCTCGAGCGGGCCCCTGACAGAAATTTCGGGGGGTCAGCTGACCCTCTGACCCCCCCCCCCTGGCTGCGCCACTGTATTATATATTGTACAATATTCCTTGTGAATGATTCTTATCAGCATGGGCGTCACCACCACTAGGGACACTAGGGAGTAGTAGGGACATGCTTCCTAGAAGTTTTGAAATAATCGAAAACTACAAATTAGGAACTGTCCCTAGAAGTATTTGGAGCTCCCTTTACTGGGGACACGCAAAGAACCCGTGACACCTCAGACGATAATGGCGCAACTTGTTCGGCTCTGCGAACACATGTGGTTTGCCTTGCGAACAGTCGCGTCAACATCCCGCGGTAAATAAAAAGGCCCGCGAGCGGTGTGCCTCCCCAGTCCCCACAGATGTGACAGTGCCCTCCAGGCACGTGTGTGTGGTCGCCGTAAAGCTGGATACCGCAGGCCGGCACTCGTCCAAGAAATTGGTCGAGTTTGTTTCCCAGCCATCCGAGGAGACACCCGAGCCGATTCTGGAGGTGCCCAGCGTTATTGCTGAAACGAACTCGGCTGGCTTCATCCAGGTCCAGCTTATAAACCCGACCGATGACGATATGCAGCTGCCCGCCGCGTACGAGCTGGGGCAGACTCAGTTGTATGAGGGGCCGGTCGCCACAGTGCGCGTGGACCCGGCGGGAGATAAGGATCAGGGCTGTACTGGGCCGCCGCTCTGGGCCGGCCGCTGGTCAAGCCGCCAACATGTCCTAAATCAATTCCCTCTGGAACATCTGAGTGGGGATCGGAGACGGCGGAGAGGACCTGCTCTGCCGCTATCAGTCAATATTATCGAGCCACGACTACGATCTCGGTCGCATTGAAATAGCGGCACACACCATCCGACTGAAGCCGGGAGCGGATCCCGTGCACTGGCGCCCGCACCCGTGCTCAGAGCATCAGCCTCGGAAGTTGTGGTGCCAACTGGAACAGATGCTAAAAACGATCTGATTGAGCCGGCGTACGACGAGTTCACCTCGCCATGTATTCTGGTAAAAAAAGCCAAATCCTACCTCAGAATCTGACTCATGGCGTCTCTGTCAGTCCATCGACAAGCCCAACTCGGTCACCGAAACTCTGAGTTACCCGCTCCCTAATATGCAGCGTATATTAGAAGACCTGGGGCGAAACAGGGGCTTTGTGAGCTCGATGGTCATGACTAAGAGCTTCTGCCTTCTACCAGATACAGGTGCTGCCTGAGTGCGCCAAGCTCGCTGGTTTCATGACACCCTTCGGGGGCTACAAGCCCAAGATGCTGCCCATGGATCTGAAGAATAGTAGTGCTAGTCTCCAGCGGATAGTGGACGCCGTGTACGCTCCAGTGCTGGCCACGGGAAAGGTCCACTGCCATCTTGATGATCTGATCTGCTCCACCACGACCGAAACTGAGCACTTGGAGACGCTGGAGGACACATTCCAGCTGGCTCAGAAGCACGGGGTGAAGTACAAACCGTGGGTAAGACCAGGCTTCTCTGTTGGTCAGTGGAACTGCTGGGTCATGTCATTTCTCCCGAGGGCATTAGTGTCGATGACAGCAAAACACAGGCAATCGCCTACATAGCAGAACCAGCCAATAAGACAGATATAAAAGCTTTGTAGGCTATGCCAGCTTCTACAAGCGCTTTATACCGGGTTTTGCGGCCCTGGCACGAGCCTTACTGAACTTACTGAAGAAGAACGTGCCCTATGTATTCACCGAAGAGTGCAGGGAGTCTTTTGAGGCGCTGAAACGGTGTTTATGCGAGAGTCCGGTGCTCCGGTACCCCGACTTCTCGGGTAAATACCATTTCACGTCTACACTGACGCGAGCTCAGGAACACTTGGAGCGGCGCTGCATCAGGAGTTTGAGGATGGCTCTCACCCTATACCTTACGCTAGCCGGGTGTTGACGCCGTCCGAGCTGCCGCAGCCTATACTGGTAAAAGAGAGCCTGGTGGTCGTCTTTGCTGTCTTTGAGAAATTCTTTTACTACCTCGATGGTCGACATTTCATACCTACTTGCACAGACAACAGCGCTGTCAGATACCTGCTCCAGGCCACAGCGGAACCCAAGGTGAGGGATGCATTGAGGCTGCTCGAGTTCGAGTTCCAGGTGCGGCATCGCCCGGGGCCCGAAATACCGCACGTGGATGGACTTAACCGTTTGTCTTGGAGGGCAATGAAAGAAGGGCAAAGCCAAAAAGTGACCGCGGTCATCGACGTCGACTCGTGCACTCGGTCGGTTTGTACCGTCATTGAGATGGGAATCAAACCACTGAGTGCCGAGGAGCTGCGAGCAGAGCAGCTCAAGGATGAGCAGTTGGAGCCGATTATACGATACAGTAGAATCCGCTTAGTAAATCCACCCTGGTGACACGGCGTTTTTGATTTATTAAGTGGTTGCTTTATTAATCGGAGTCAGTTATCATTCCATGGAGAAATCCGTGAACAGCTCTCAAGTGACCACAATAAGCGGCTGGATTTATTATCCGAGGATTTATTAAGCGGATTCTACCGTACCTTAATGCATTCTGAAGTACTAATGTGTCACATGCATAGGCAGAAGGACTGGGCACGCGTTTCATACAGGGCCTCCTCTAAGGAATTTTCACTGGGGGGGGGGGGGGCAGAGGCTCAGAAGCCAAACCTAGGGTACCCAAAATCCGGTTTTCACATCAGATTTAGACCACTTACTTTTTGTCACAGCCCTGATGCCATGCTTTTATTTTGATTTTGAAAAAATAAAGAAATGGTAGGTCACCTGACCCTATACTGGTGGATCCAGACCGGCACGGGCAGGGTGACATTTGGGGTAAATATCCCCCTGCAGCGTCCGAAATCGACGGAAATTTCCGACTTTTCGGAAATAATGTAGACATGACCTTGAGTGATTAACTGTAAAGCATAGTCAAAATATATTCTGAACACCAAGACCAGTTCAAAGCCAAGTCAAAGTCCAAGTTCCAGTCCCCCAGCTCCCTGCCCCCTGTCTCAATGCCCCCCCCGTATCCAACATGACCTTGAGACGACCTTTGTCACAGAAGGTTCCCGAAGGGAAACCAATCGGCGGCTGCCCTGGCGTCGCAGCGCCAGCCAATCAGCAGCCGCCATCACTCTGCACACCAGCCGTCGCCGCCAAGCTCGGCATATAGCCTACGGCGTGTGACCTGCGGCCGCGGGCGCTTGCGGCGGCGAAGTCCCACTTCCGACACAGTCTCGGAGCGGCAGTCCATTGTCAGCATATAGCCGCCCGAGCAACAGGCGGCGGCACAGGAGGAGCCCTCCTACACTCCTCCCCGCTTACAAAGAGCCGCCAGACGTCTGAGGCGCACTGGCTCCAGCGCACGTCCCCTGGGAACCAGAATGAAACAAACGCGTCACTAAGAGTGGCCACAATGCGATATGTACAAACGACAGAAAAAGTCAGCTCGGGTCATCAGGGCACGAGACAGGACACACATCAGCCGGTAAGGGTAAGACGAGACCCACTGCCGTACTTTCCGCCACTTACGCCACGCGCTAGTCGCTCGACGCGTTCAGATCGCGTCCATCTGGGCTCTGCTGGCCAGTCAAAGCACAAGATAAAGCGCGCTAAAGGCAGCTGCGGCTGGGTAGTGTTGCGATCAGGTGTCTTACATTACGGCTACATATCGGTCAGGGGGCCGACGCTCACGCGTAGAGCGTCTCGGAGCCACCGCGGGTACCGCACTGCGAGGCAGCGGTATCGGCCGGAAGGTCACACGGAGACTAACCGACTGCTCTGCACCCTGTGAAACGGCAGCCTCAGCTGGAGGCTCAGCTGTGGAACGCATCGTCACCTCAGATGCGCTCCCTGGGACAGGACAGAGACTCGTCCCGCGACAGGCGGTGACCCAGCGGTCACGGTCAATCAGTGCGTAAGCCGGAACCCTCGTGACACGACTTCGGGAGGGATGGAGGTGGGCGGGGGAGCGCGTGGAGGGGTGCACCGTAATGCATGGCCCAGAAGGACAAAAAGCCACTGCTGTCATTAACGTGCGTGATAGAGCCAAGAGCTAGCGCCGAACTATCAGCTCAATACAACTTGGCCTTGGCCAACTTGGCCTCAATACAACTTCGACTTAGTGCATCATATAGCATCAGTGCAGACGGTCACCCCGAGTCCCCGACCTTTGTCCGGCAAAAACTGTGCCACATGTCGGGGCGAACACTAACGTCTGCCGTTTGGTTGTTTTCAGCTTCCGGTGCCACGGGACTCACTCACCTCGACGCCTGCGAACACGAGGAGTCGCTGCAAACGATCCTTCAGCGCATCGCGGAACTGTCGATGGGCTACCCGGCCGGACGGGTGCAGCTGCACCTGGTCGGAGGCTACCGGGACAGCCGGGGCGTCTCCGAGGAAGCCACCCTGTCCCTGCTCAGTGAGTGTCTCCCTGGCCCTGCTCAGTGTCTCCCTGTCCCTGCTCAGTGAGTGTCTCCCTGGCCCTGCTCAGTGAGTGTCTCCCTGGCCCTGCCTAGTGTCACCCTGGCCCTGCTCAGTGTCTCCCTGACCCTGCTCAGTGTCTCCCTGGCCCTGCTCAGTGTCTCCCTGTCCCTGCTCAGTAATTGTCTCCCTGTCCCTGCTCAGTGTCTCCCTGTCCCTGCCTAGTGTCACCCTGGCCCTGCTCAGTGTCTCCCTGGCCCTGCTCAGTGTCTCTCTGTCCCTTCTCAGTGTCTCCCTGTCCCTGCTCAGTGTCACCCTGGCCCTGCTCAGTGTCTCCCTGGCCCTGCTCAATGAGTGTCTCCCTGTCCCTACCTAGTGTCACCCTGTCCCTGCCTAGTGTCACCCTGACCCCGCTCAGTGTCTCCCTGGCCCTGCTCAGTGTATCCCTATCCCTGCTCAGTGAGTGTCTCCATGTCCCTGCTCAGTGAGTGTCTCCCTGGCCCTCCTCAGTGTCTCCCTGTCCCTGCTCAGTGAGTGTCTCCCTGGCCCTGCCTAGTGTCACCCTGTCCCTGCCTGGTGTCACCCTGTCCCTGCTCAGTGAGTGCAGGGGGGTCTGCTCCCGTGCTTTTCCGCTATCAAAAACTGGCAATAGGTTGGCTCAAGGCCGTTGGACAGCGGCCGGCGCGCTGATTGGCTGACGGCTGTGAATAGGGCGGAGCTAATATGGTGACGTCACAAATCACTCTGGCCGAAGGCCGATAGTGTTATAGTCAATGGAGGCCGGAGGGGAATATTGTGCGCCCGTTTATTCCTACTTTCAGTGTCACGTAAGGTCTTCTTCTTTATCCCGCGACCGCCTGGGGGGGGGTCGGATCCGACCCCCCCCTCCGTTTTTCTTGAATAACTCATGAACCGCTTGCGCTAACAACTTGAAACTTCGCATACCTTCTCCCCCATCAATTTGACGTCTCCTGTGCAATTTTTAAGAAAAAAATTTCAAAAATTTCTGAGATATATTGATTTTAGTGATGTAACTACATGGCGTTTTCAGTCAAAAAATGGTAAATGTTTAAAAAATCGCCAAAAATCGAGGTTTTAAGCAAATTGCAAATTAAGGACATGAAAAGACGCAGCTCAACGAGTTCTTTAAAATGGCTATCTCGGATTTTCCATAAAATGCGTTTTTCACCCCTAAAAATTCAAAAAACTATATTTTTTGGAAAACAGCTAATAAAATCCAAAATTTTGAGAATTTCCAAAAAACCGGAATATATGTTATAGAGCTCTATTAGAACATTCGATGTCCCAAATTTCAACTTTCTATCTTGATTTTTGACCCCCAAATTGTAAAAAATAGCTCCAACATGCATAGGGCATGGTGACGTCATAAGCATTTTCGCGAATTAGAGGCACTTCTGAACATCGCATGTGAAAACAAATGGCACCACTAGATTCCTGGGACAAAGTTCGTCAAGAAAAGTGCATTTTTATGTCAAAAATAAAAAGTTGAAAAATTGACTTTTTCTTAGCCCTCGTTTAGTTATGTATGGCATAAACGATTTTTTATGCTTTCAATGCACACTTATCACCAGCACAGTGACTTGGGGTCACATATAACCATTACCATCGGATTTGGCGTGAAAAATAAGCCATAAAACATGTGTCGCACGCCCATGTAGCAGAAAGTGAAAACCGTGACCTTTCGTGACCTGACCTGACCTTGACCCGTACTTCGTATGACCCCTATACGCACATGGTACCTTCACTAGGTCTTTGAGGTCATTTGTGGTGAGTTTCGAGCAGCAGCTATCGATTCCGCTGTCCGTAAGCCTAATCATGCAAAACCCCTGAATTTGACATTTGACCTGACCTTGACCCGAAAGTTGACCTCAATCTTAAAATCTTAAGAGTGCTTTGGGAAGGTCTCGTAGAGACCTTTCGAACGCCGCCTCGCGGGGCTCGATACGACCATTGGTTCTCGAGATAACAGGGGGGGGGGGTCGGATCCGACCCCCCCAGGCTGATGTGGGTACGGAAATAGCCCAGGCGGTGCCGGGTTATCTTGGTACAATTGAGGTCCTTCTCGTGGCTGCTACACATCAACTTTCCATTCGTCAACGCATTTGTACGCTTTAGAGCGTTTTGAACGTCGAGCCAACCAGTGCCAAACGAATTAGGTACCGAATCGCAGTTACCACGAATAGAAAACAAGCCTCATACATTAATGATCAAACTGATGTTCGTTTCCGGAAGACACAAGCAACTTATTGCCTATGTGTTGGATTTTTATGTTACTGCCTTAATTACGGAGCGAGCGAAGCGAGCGGAGTCTTACGTAGAATAACGGAAATTTCTGAGTATGGCCGTGGTCACGCTTTTGCGAGGCTTATATCTCAGCAACCACTTGACCGATTTACATGCGGTAATTTTTGTGGGGTAGCTTCATTCCTTCTACCAAGTATTGGACTATTCCCGATGCATATGGGTGACCCCTTATGCACGTGCCACGTGCAAAACGAAGAGGTGTCACTTTTGTAATTGTTGCAATATCTCGGTAACTACTTGGCCGATTGCGCTGAAAGTTGGCATGTAGGTAGGCACCCACTAGGCACTGCATATCCATGTGCCAGAGTTGGGGTGCTGCTGCACGTGCGCACGTGCAGGGGTCGTTTCCAGATCTCGAGAACGGCTGGACCGATGGCGCTCAAATTTGGTACATGGTTAGGGACCGGTTAGTAGGGTGCCGTGCAAAAGTCAGTTGGGACCCATTTTGCACGTGCGCACGTGCAGGGTGCCGCTTCCAGATCTCGAGAACGGCTGGGCCGATTGTGCTCAAATTTGGCACATCGCTAGAGACCGGTTAGTAGGGTGCCGTGCACAAGTCAGCTGGAGGTACCCCCTCGAAATTTCGCACGTGCAAGGCTCACCCTCTCGCTCGCTCCGTTAGTCGCCCCAAAAGGCGTTATACTGGTTTATGTGTTTCTAATGTCGTCCATCTAACCCTCACCGGCCGAAGGGGGAGCGGGTACCGCCCCCACCCCCATGGGTTTATCGCGATAGTTCGGAACACGCCGGCGATAGAGAGGCAAAACTTGGCCTACCTGACCTTTCCTTCAAGCCGGATCTTTTGACACCAACTGCATTTTCGGGCCAAGTCAGGTCACTGACCTATGACGTCATAAGTGAACCTCTGCACGGCCCCACAATGTCGTGACTTCACAGCGCTTTCACAGTGCACAAGAGCCGAGGAGCTTTCACAGGGAGATGAACTTACAGGACCTAGTATCGATGAGAGGTCTCACAGCTTGTATGTCTTGGATTTATCCTAAGGGTCACCTGAGGCCAAGTCCTCACCATGACGTGACCTCACCATTATAAGTCGATGGGAAAATATGGATAGGATATGTAAATATGGATCATCGCCGGATGGCGCCGGCAATGATCCAGAACTATGTCAAGCACACAGAATCGTGATTCCATGCACACTATCCGATGCTTCACTTTTGTATTGCTGACCTTGTGTGACGTCATTTATGACGTCGATAAGGTCATAAGTTTTTCGTCAATAGCACCTGATCAAATTGAGCTAGCATAGCGGAGTACGGAAACCCACCAATGGACTCGGGAACACCTGCCGAATCGAATGATATACGATATGACCTCCTTCGACCAACTTGGTGACCTGAAGGGCTCTGACCTGACCTTCACCCGAAGTAAACATTTTAGGTTGAGCTCGACCGAGCAAAATGTATACCATTCGACGCGCCTGAGCCAGGCAAACAAGATGCTGTCAAAATCGAGGCTCTGTGACCATTTTTGACGAAGTTATTTGCCAAAAACTGACACTTAGCTTGGGCCACTTGACCGGACCTCAGATGTGACCCGTTAACCTGAGGCCTTGAAATCGGCTACTAATCGCTGCGTAGTGCGTCTCGTAACGGCGCATACGTTTGCCTTTTCCGCGAAAATCTAGCTCAACCAGGGGCGAAACGGCGAGTGGAGGTTTTATCAACTAACCCCTCCCCTCTCGGCCGGGGCGTATGAAGAAAACCAATAGGTCCGGCGAGGTTTGGTTTAAGAAATACCGGGCTAGTTAACGATAGGTATTTTAAGTAGCACTGTTTCTTAACCCGCGCCGTGCTGGGGGGGGCGTTTTTACGCCCCCCCCCCCTCAGGTTTTTCGCGAATATCTCAAAAACGGCGGCGCGCAGCGCCGCCGTTTTTGGTACACGTGTTCCTACATCATTTCCGCACATGTTGTGAAAATTTCAGACCTAGGCCGTTCAAGGTCAGGTCACCAGGTCACGTCAAGTGACCTTACCTCAGAAAAAGTTCAAAGGCTCGCTATAGCTACACCGACTGAACGATCACTTTGAAACTTTCAGCGATTGATATGAGTAACAGTATGTATAAAATGTATATCTCGGATTTTTGATATCTGTGACCTAAGGTCAGGTCAATTTTGCGACCTCTCCATTATAAGTCAATGGGAGAAAATTGAAATGCGCCTCTTTTGGACGAATATCGTTCAAAACGCTCTCAAACATCGGTTCATAGGTAAACATGACACACTGAATAGGAAAAATGCACCTGTGACCCCTCTGTGTGCCCCTGAGGTCATCTCAGGTCATGAACGGTCGCCAGCAGTTTTTTGGCTATAACTTTTGATAGAGACGTGCTAGAGCGGTGAAAACACGTCAGATGTGTTCAGCTCGACGATACGGATTGACTGATATGCAACATGACCCTTTTCGGTCAGGTCATGACCTTGACCTGAGGTCAAATTTTCAAAATGACCTTTCAAGGTCAACAAATAGTTCATTCGACGCGTCTCGACGAGAGGAACACGATGCTGGCAAAAGTAATGTCATGGCGCTTATGAGTCAAAAGTTATTGACGAAAAAACGTTTTTCGTAAAAACGGCTATTTTTGGAGTTTTTGCCCTCTGGAGGCTAAACCGTTGACCTGAGGTCAAATCTGAGAACATTACTCAGAAAG